GGGAGGGAGGGAGGGAGGGAGGGAGTCGAAATATCTACCTGCGTCATGATCTTGAGAACGGCAGTAATGCGCGACGGGCTGTGGAGCCATCAATTAGGTAATCGACCAGATAAGAGACGCTGGAAAGATATCTTTCTCTATGACCCAGTGCATTCATAGCCATTGTTGCAGCAGTCAGTGTATCGTTGTCAGCTGTGCAGTTTATCTATCGAGGCATTGCATCTGACAGCTTCACAGCTGTCTCTAATAATTGCTCGCTATTTTTAAGCTCTTGCACAATCGCTCTGAATGGACTCGGTCTCCGAGCACGCAAGCTGCTGTCCATTCAATGGATGAAAGACTCGTTCATGGATCGCAATGCATCCATCGATGAAAACAAAACGACTGTCGATCGATGGATCATCAGATAGATCTTGAGAGCTTTCCCAAAGCTGCAGGATTGTCTATCACAGGGTTGTGACGAAGTGCACGACAGTGCGCATGACAAGTCAGGCAGAGTCAGAAAATCCTGCCTTTGGAGGATTGAACCGCTAATCAGTCGTTGTTGCTTCTGTTTTAACCACTTGTTCGCTTCGCCCAGCAGACCGACGCGACGGCGTTGTTAGGGGTTCGGCATGTTCCAAACCCCGATCGTCGTAAGTGTGTTTCCTAAACCGGTTAAGCACAATATCTGCATCTTGCAGGTAATCCGGGACGCTTAGGTGCACGTAAGCAAACCTCCACGTCAAGAAGTTAGCATACGGCACCGCCAGCTTCTTCTTGACCCGAGTTTTCACCGCAGCTAGCATCTCCTTCTCCTTGACTGCAAGGCAGAAAGGCTCGCCAAAGGTCTGAGCCACGGAGCCGGTTGCAGAATCCCGCCAGAAGTGGTACACATGAATAAGTCTACCTTCGTCGGCATTACCGAGGTCCTTTTCTTCCTCCGGAATCTCCTCCGCTCTCAGTATTCGAGATGTGTGATTGCTGATGTTGTCAATCTTCTCCGTCGGGAGGAAGATCTTGCAAATCTTACTCTGAAACACTTCAAGGATACGAAGTTGCGCCCTGGAGTTGGAGAGATCGACCAAATCACTGGTCTCCTTGATTAGCTCGCGGACGGTGCTTTCCTTGGGGAGCTGGATGCTACGCACACATACCTCCACCCGGCTGTTGTAAAACCTGATCTCCAGCGTATTCAATGCCCCAGAAAACGGGGACAGAACATCGTAGTACAGGATGTCCGACATTCGACTGTGATGAGCCAGCATGTCGCTGAGACTTTTCCCGCTTTCAGGATTGATGGGTTGGCGCCTCGGCCCTTGGGTAAAGCAATTGTGAGCAGTGAGGCGGATCTTCCTCGGATCATCAACTCCAATACGTCTTGCCACCCGCTCAACAATGTCATCGTAGTTGCGCTGCCTCAGTATCCCCAGCGCGAATTCTGGCGTATCGGGCTCTGACAGTCGATGGAAGCGAACCACCTGCAGGTTCCTAACATAGTCAAGGTAAGAAGGGACGTCCGGATACCGGTACTTGATCCGATCCGTCTCAGATATAGCCTTCTGCACACAGATGATGTCGCCGTCTTCCAGCTGACTGGCTATGAAGGTGGTGGCCGTGTCAACTGGTACACAGATTACTGGTGAACGAAACGTGATCTCCTCGAACAGGATCACCTCATCCCTGGGTGCGAAACCCGCCATCTTCCTAATCTGCACCATGAAGTCGCGAGGTTTGCCTCTCCGCGTCACAAACATCTTCCCCACGTATTTCAACTCCTCCACCTCCTCCTCCACCGCCACAGCCGCAGGATCGTACCTTTTTGTAGAAGATCAATATGTCATCCTTGGATCTAACAGGGAGAGGAACTGAAAAGCTCTCTCGGGTTTCTAGGAAAAGGTTGATTTCCGCACTTCGTTGTCGGGTGGATGGTTTCTTTCCAAAATGCTCTACGCTCCGAGTCTCGTCAAACACCGTCAGCGGTCTGCTCGGTCGATAAGTCTGTTTTTTTCTTTTAGCCCATAACCAAAACCGTTGGCACGAGACAGGAACGTGAAACTCAGCTGCACAGCGTTCCTTGACTGTCTGAAGGGGGCAGTCCTTTTCTATCCGAAAGCAGCGCACCTTTTCAAAATCTACCAGATCAAAGATGATGTCCCCGCCAATCTGATCGCGCAAATCCTCCTCCCTTGCCACCTTCACATCAACGTACGAGTCAGCCGCCTCCTGATCCTCTCCCGATCCGCACTGCAAACGATTCGCGACCTGGCCGCCATCAACCTCAAACATAATTTTGTCCTTATCTTCTTGGCGAACGTAGACCAGTGCATACGCGCTCGAATTCCTTGTAATCATGGCCGGGAAATCTGGCAATTTCGGGGTGGGCATCATCAATCGCGTCTCCCCCTCCCCTCCGTACTGCTCTTCCAAGACTCTCCTGGCATCCTCCTTCGTCACACCTTCGCCGTCAAACTTGTGCCATTGCTCCAACAACATCGGTTGAACGAACACCTCGCATCTGTGGCTGCTGACGCCACCGCTGTGAACAAGGACGCTGTACAGTTTGTAAAGATTCCGCACACTCCTGTCCGCGTCAGCGGCCAGGTACTTTCGACAGTGTCGATCTAGGTCCAGCAGTAGCGGGAATTCGTATCGGTCATTTATCTTCACCACTTTGTCGCCCACTTCATCGTATGCAAACCGTTTCAAGTGCAGAAACAAAACAGGCGGGAAACTCCGAAACAATACCCGATTCCCTGTCCTTTCTTCCCGCCAACAGGCGCCATTTCCGCCCCGCGAACGTCCATTATCTTTATCCTCCACCAATCTCTCCCCGGCGCTGCAGTACTTGTCAAACGACTCGTAGACGTCCTTGCAGCCCCTGACATCCAACTCCAAGTCATAGAACAGCATCCGCCGTCCTTTTTCCTTGACTCCAATATCAGCACACCCTGCACAACTGGACAGAAGATAATGGCCTTGGAATAGGTCCTGGATGGTTCCTCCCACTGCGTCAACCTCATTTCCTTCTCCAGCTGCTCGAAGATGGCCAGGAGGAATTCCCGGATTGCGTCCGGTGGGCAGAGAGAGGCTGCTACTCGTGAATCCCAGCCCGAAGAGGTGGCGAAATCGTCAGTCTCCACGCCGATGTCACTGCTCTGCATCTTGTGAAACAGGCACTGAAGTGCGAAAGGGATGCTATTAGTTGAAGCTACTTCCTGCTCACGCTCGCTCAGCGGTATCTGATACACAGCCTGCCGAGAATAGGGTAGGTGAAAAAGGGTCTGGAGAACGGCGTTCATGAAAGAACTGGTGGCGATGTATTCGCTACGCAACCAGACAAACCCCGTCGCCTTTGTCGAGCTTTCAGCCCGAGACTCATGTACGTCACGGAAGGCTGAAACCTCGGCTTCAATCACCACGATACCGTCAACCAAGAACCCTTTCAATGGAGCAACCAAATCCTTAAGAGGCACGAAATGAGTGAAACCCCAATCGCTATCCTTTTCGCAGAACACGTGACTTGATCTCATCTCTATTGAACGCCTAGGGTCACGCTGATTAACAACACGCAGGGCAAAATATGCGCTGCGACTCCAGCCGAAATCTAACCGATGGAAATCTGGCACTACAAGATAGACTGACAATTCATTGACACCGTTGCCCTTTGGGTAAACCATGAGACGCCAGTCATGACCTCCAGCAGCAAACTTCGAAGAGTAGAGTTTTGTGACCGTTGATTTAGTAAAATTCTCTATCACCCACCTAAAATTGACAATTCTTGAAGGTTCATTCCCCTTCATCGTCACATCTGTTCCAGTCATCCTCCCTCTCCGTTTTCTTCGTCGTTTTTTCTCCTTGCTCGTTTCACTTCTCCGCTTGCACTTTTGCTTCTGTCTCTCTGCCGTGAGATATTCTCTACTTCCGCACCTACATCTGCTCCCTCTCGACGGTTTACTTCTCTCTCTCTCTCTCTCTCTCTCTCTCTCTCTCTCTCTCTCTCTCTCTCTCTCTCTCTCTTCCCACAGCAACCAAAAGATCCTTGTCCCTGCGTGACGCATGGCAGGCGGTCCTCAATTCAGAGAGCAATCTAAACAGAAAGTGACAGCAACCACTGCAGATCCGCTTCCCTGTGGTGTTCGAGGAGGGAGGGAGAGATCCAAGTCGCAGCGAGCTGATGTCTTGTCTTCAATGGCCCACGTTGTTGTTGTTGTCGTCTGGTGCGGTCGACAGCATGGATAAGGAGGAAAAATCGTAGGCGACAGGAACAGTCACACAAATTGTCAGAAACGGCAGAGGGAAATTTTAATTACAGATTGTATAACCAAAACTTGCAGTCCGCCGATTCCAAGTTGGAATTGGGAACCAAAGTCACATCGAATAAGACATAAAACTATCCGAAACCGCATGCTGGTTCATGCCGTAGAAAAATCTTTAAATCTTTTGGAATCCAACTTCCAATATTGAGAATGCTCCGCAAATTCCTTAAAAAAATGAGAATGCATTTTTTGTCACAAGTTCACAACAGAAAAGCAAACATGATTTTTTTTATTACAACAGAAAAGTGTGAGGACTGTGTCCTCAGGGGGCCCTAGGCAACATGCATATGTTCTGGAATGTGGCCCCCCCAGCAAGCCTCGTGCCCCCACTAAGTGAAGGTGGGCCTGAATATTTATGAGAGGCCCTTATCTCAGCATTTTCCAATGCGGGGCTCATACAGTTGCTGCACGACAGTTGGTTGAAGCGCAACCTGGGCCTTACCCTGGGCTCTTCCAGAAGAAGAAACTGCGCCAGGCAGTTGAGCCCAGGGCCCGGGTGGTTGTGCCCTGGGCACACACATTGTGAGGCGGGCACACACATTGTGAGGCCGACACATCACGAAGTGGCCACGGGCCAACAACAAAGCAGCAATGTCGCCGTATCTACCCCGTGGCCAGCGCAAATGCAGCAAACATTCAGAGCCTGGATACTTCTGGGTGTGCCCAACTGAAAAGGGCCCAGGCTCTTAACTGTCGAGATGGGCCTGGGCGCAGACACTCGGGCCTGACCAGAAGCTACCGGAAACTTCCATGGCCAGGCCCAGGGAGTCCAGCAGCAGCTGCCACGTCCATATAGGAAGCAAGCCAGACAGGGAAGGCATGAGGACACGCTGCTGCGCTCACAGGCAAGTGTCTATACGCGCATCTGCTAGCTGGGGCGCGCGCGGACGCTGAGAGGTGAGGGGCACTAGCGGCCATAGCCGGGCTGCAGGGCGCGTAGGCAGAGGAGGGCGACGGGGGTCTTCGGGAGGAGGCGCAGAAGTGGGTGGACAGGGGGGTGATGAGGGAGACAAGAGTACGTACCTGGTGTATGTGGGAGGTTGGCATTGGGGTTGACGACATCATCAACATGTACATTGGTCTTCAAAGTCGAAGTGAGCATGTTGCATGAACATAGGTAGGATAGGTGCGCCAGACAGAGAGGAGCGACATGGAGGACTGTGTTGGTGTGGCCTGAGGGCTTGAACATTGGCTCACGAGTTCATTGTATTGCTCTTATTTGGATGGAATCTTGGTGCATTTGAGCTCTCTGCTTGATACATGACTATCTGGACTTCTGAGTGATTTTCCAACTAGGTTTTCTGTATATCGCTCTCGCTCATAATCCTTGCAATTTGGTATCGGAGCTGGTTCGAGATCGCCTATCTGCCGCTGGCGACATTGTTACTTGGTGCGCTGACGATGCTTCTGTGCAGTGACGATACATTGCCGCTGGCTTGACATTGCGACAATCGGGTTGAGGGGTGGGTCGCAGGAAGGCTGTGGCAACAGCGTGGTGGTGACAGTGGATGTATGTGTGATGATGAGAGCATGCTGATGTGGCATTTTGACTGAGGTGGCACTGCATTGCGTTGTGGGTGGTACCGAAGCTACAACCGGTCATCGAAATGCACATTGGCTCAATTGGTGAGAAATTCGTGGTTGGGGACAGCTATCTCCAGGTACGTTGTTCCCTTATCTTATCTACCCTCTCAATCTCTTCTTACCGTGAGGAAGTGAGTCCAACCTTGAGTGTCCTCTCTTCGTGAGGAGCTGTGAGCGCTCTACCTCAGGAGACGACATTCTTCCCGGTGGCGCATATGGCAGGAGAGGGCGGTGCCTCTGAAGGGCCCTGGTTGAAGCACGGTGTCGGGAGATCCGGGGATGGAAGCCCGTCGAACTGCTGAAGCCCGGGGCTACGACGCCTGTCACCTACCGCGGCCGGTTCGGGGGTCGTCAGCAACTCAACAGGGAGTTTCCTTTATTTTAGTTGTCATGCCCGCACTTTAGGTGCCTCAAAACTGCCGGGAGATCCGGGGAGGGAATCCCATCGAACTGCTGAAGCCCGGGGCTACGGCGCCTGTCACCTACCACGGCCGGTTCGGGGGTCATCAGCAACTCAACAGGGAGTTTCCTTTGGTTTAGTTGTCACGCCCGCACTTCAGGTGCTGCCCGCTTACCCGCTTTTTAAGGAGAGAAGACAATATATATAAATAAGTAGTCAAAACAAACAAAGAGTTCAGATGTTACATGCTGCGCCTACAACAAGGGCCATTTTCAGGCCCCGTGTCGTTTCAGCCTGAAAGCCTGAAAACAAGGGCCTACAGGCCCAGTGTCGTTTCAGCCTGAAAGCCTGAAAACGAGGGCCTACAGGCCGTGTGTCGTTTCAGCCTAAAACAGGCCCCCCCAGGCCCTGAGTCTTTTCAGCCTGAGACGGAGGGCCATTTTCAGGCCCTCGTAAGATCGACCTGCCCTGAAACTTAGGCACCAGACCAGGGTTTTAGCACAGGCCATTTTAGGCCTGTTTTCAAGACAACCTTTGTTTGAGCTTCAACGCCAGGGTCTGGCACGTTTTGGCATTGGCAAGAGCAGCCTCCTGGATGGGCCAGCACTATATAAGACTGGCCCGCCCTGCAGGCTGCAGGTAGTTCATAGGGACTTCCCAGGCACTTCACGTGCAGTTCAGGAGGCAGGAGGTAGTCTTCAGGATTCAGCAGCAGCACTCTAAAGGAGCACTGCAATAGTAGTAGTAGCGTTAGCAGTAGCCTTCAGCGCTGGGCGCTAGTAGGAGCTCGAGTAGCACTGGAGAGAGAGAGAGAGATTGGGCGGAGGCCAGGGAGACTTACCTGCAGCGCCATAGCTCCAGCTTCGTCTTTGAGGTACCTGCAGCACAGCGCCATCTTCAGAGGTTAGTATCTGGCACATTGGAGAGGGAGAGAGAGAGAGAGAGAGAGAGAGAGAGAGAGAGAGAGAGAGAGAGAGAGAGGGTTCTTCTCCTTCCTCTTCTCAGTCCACCATCTCCCTCTCACCCTCTCGCTACCTGACTTCACTGCATCAGAAGACTACGAGAGAGCGGGCTTGGTGACATTTGGATCCAGACTCGACATTGGGCTTCAAACATTTGACGAGGGATTATTTGGGCCTTGTACCGAAGATTTGGTGTTAACAACATTCCCATCTTGAAGTTCCCCCTCTTCTTCGTCTGATCCCCTCCTCTTCGTCTGTGTATGGTCTGGACCTGGCGCATTCTTCCTGTGTGTAGCGCCGGGCCCCTTCACACCTTGTGACGAGGATGATGTATGTTTGGTCTGCATTGTGACATTGATTGGGCTAGTCATTGGCATTCTAGCATTCCGCTGCGCTGTTCTTGTACTACGTAAGAGCGGTCAGTCCCGGTCAGGTCAGGACTTATATCTAAGTCTTCCACTGCGCTACAAAGCACCATTTTTGTATGTATCAGGACGTACACTGCTTGTTGAGATTCTACTAGCACTGCATTGTCCATTCAGTCCTTTTTATCACATTGCGGATCCTTGGCTATATATCTACATCGCCCAACTAAGCATGTATCAGTTGGTATCGGAACACCGCATGTGAATCAGGACAACCTGATCTGACACGTGTGTGGGGACTGAAGTAGTTAGTCTTGATCGATTGATTCATTAGAGCATACTAATTAGCCCCCAAAATCACGATTTTTTACCTCACTGCCGAAATTCAAAATTTTTTCCTTTTCTTCGATTTTATTTTCCCGCTATTTCTATTGTGAAAAATTGCAATACTGCAACACCTGAAATTTCCGTTTTCATTTTTCCTTCTGAAAATTCCAAATTTCGTTGTTGGAAATCCAGAATATCTTTTTTTTGGAAAATTTTGATTTCCTTTTGCAACTTCCCGTTATTTGGAAATCCGGAATATTTTTTTGAATTTCCGAAATTCGTTTTGTTGAAACTGGTACCGGAAATCCCTCTTGCAGTTATCATTTTCCAAACTGTGTGTACTCTCATCTGAGTAAGTCCGAATATTTTTTTGGTATTTGTTTTTCGAAATTCTTTTATCGGATAATCATTTGCAGTCTGAAAGTTCGAAATTTTGTTCTTCATTAGTAATTTCGCACTTCGGGGGAATTGGGAGGCCTACTGAACTTGCAAACGAGTTTTTTTTTTCTTTCTCTCGAATTTTTTTGCAAAGTTCAAACTTTTCTTTTTGATTAGTGGCTCCTTATCTGGGCGATTTATCCCACCCACCCCTTCCCACCTATGTTGTTGCCCCCTCTGGTCTTCTCTATCTCTAGG